AGAGAGAGAGAGAGAGAGAGAGAGAGAGAGAGAGATTACGTGTAATGGTCATGAACATTTTTAATTCAGGGCAGCAATCACGTTTATTAATAGTGAGATTTTTGTTACATATATGTTAGTACATGACTTAACAGCGTGAGCATACAAGTTTACTAACGATGGAAGAGACGGTCCACGTACAAGCCTATTGTCCCTTGCATTAGTACGTGATTCTGAATTATATTTAAGATGGTGCATACGATACCTCACGTACCAAGTATATCTCGGTGACTATTAAAGTTATCGAATCCAGATTTTGACAGAATTTAGATTGTAAAAATTGTAATCGGGTTGTATTATAGACCCGATTTCGGGTGATATGTCATTTACGTTGATACGTGATTCGAGTGATGATATCTTGACTTCTATTCGACTTAAGTGGATATTATTTTCACGAAAAACAAGGAAAATGGATAAGGTTTAAGATGATACCGTCAACTCCGTATCCCCAAAAATTGACGGGAGCCTGATTCCACCGCGTCGTGCCACAATTAGAAAGCTCTTGGGGCCTACTTAAGTCCAAGCAAGAAAATGTGGTGTGCTCATGCCGTCTATTCCTGTTATTGTTGTTTATTTAATTGTTTGTTATTATAATCATTATCATTGTTTTATTATTACTATTATCAAAACACTTATTACTGTTATTGTTTTTATCACTATTGTAAAAATCATTCTATTTTCATTGCTATTGTTATTGTTGTTATTGTTATTCAAGAAATTAAAGGCTATCATTGGTTCAAATGGACAAAGTATTAACATTCATTACGTACTGTTCATGCCGCTAGTCTCCGAAGCTGAAAGTTGAGCCTCGGTTCGGACACGGATTCTTTTCGCCCCCTCCCGCCCTCCAAACAGTAATGGGTACCTGACTTCGAGTTGGGGAAGTAAAGGCGGCATGGAAAGGAACTGGCCACCCTACCACAACTTACCGAAGGCCCAGGAAGTTGTCTCACTAACAAGGCATTCCCCAATGTCCGGATCGGATGCGGGAACAACTTTCCTTTACTGTTCATGTGTTACCGTTTTTTTGTAAAGCTCTCAGAGCCTCTTTAATCGTGGTTGAACATTGTTCTTCTTCTGCTTCTTCTTCTTCTGCTTCTTCTTCTTCTTCTTCTTCTTCTTCTTCTTCTTCTTCTTCTTCTTCTCA